TAAAATGCTTCAGTTGGTCTCTAAATTAGGTGTTAAAATTGAAAAAATTCACAGATGTCTTAAATTTTATTCACCTTGGTTAAAAAAATATAATGATTTTAACACCGCGATGCGAAAATGAGTTTGACAAAAATCATTACAAGTTCCTGAATAACGCAAACTTTGGTGAAACCATGGAAAATGTTAGAAAGTATAGGGATGTAAGAAAATGGTCGGGTAAATATGGTGCAAATTATTATATTTCCCAGTCGAATTTCAAATGTTGTCAAGTTTTTGGTCCAGATATGGATAGACTGAAACTAAAATTCAATAAGCCTATATATGTTGGTATGTCCATTTTGGATATTTCAAAATCGGTTTTGTATAATTTTCATTACAACTTTATAAAGGAAAAATTTCATTTAAATTTAAAATTATTATATTGCTACGTGGATAGTTTAATTTATCAATTTTCAGATGTTGACTTATACAAATGTATTAGAGATAATATTGATATATTTAATTCATCAGACTATCCTGTCGACAATGAATATCAAGTTCCCCTTGAAAATAAAAAAAGTATACGGATGAAAATAACGGTCATGACCGAATTCATTGGATTAAGGTCGAAAATGTATTGTTTAAAACTTTTAAAAACTCCAGAGCAGGACAATAATAGTAATGATCATGTAAAGCAAAAAGCTAAAGGTGTGATGATTATTATAATTGTCTTTTTTATAATACTCTCGTGTACAAAATTCAATCATTTCCAAAAAGCATGATATTGGCCAGTGTGATTGAAAAGGGTATTTGCTTGTACTTCAAGTAAGAGCTTTAACGTCCTATAATTTGTGGAGTATAATCTTTTACATGAAGTAAATTCTTTAATGAGAAGTGTTTACTTAGGTTAGAAGTATAAGCTAGTGGTGAATACTTTTTTTTTTTTTTTCTAGAGGTGTTAAATACATTTACGTACACCTGGGAGAGCCCAGGTAGTGTGGGGCTCAGAGTTTCCGGTGTTCTGAAACTCCACTACCCACTAAACATCACCCCTGTTGGTCTCCAGCATCCTGTCCTGGTACTATCTCGTTTGGAATATCTCTTCCGGACAGGAGCCTCCGAGTTTTTCTTCACCAGTTTCTCCCTTCTTCGTTTTCGCGCCTTCTTTCGTCTTTTTCCTTTGTATCCACCATGAATCCCATCATCCTTTCTACGGCTTTCCAGCAGTCCCTGTTGCTTAACATTACGTTTATAAGGTTCTCTTTGCTCAGCCTGCAGCCAACTTTCAGTTCCGTCTCCGTCCTTGCTCTCCCGAATCTGTCGCATTCCAGCAGCATGTGTTCTGGGGAGTCTTCTTCGGCATCGCAGTAAATGCATTTTGGTGTGTTTCTTTTTTTAAATCTGTAGAGGTATGTGCCAAAGCAACCGTGTCCGGAGAGGAACTGTGTCATTGCGTAGGACACTTCCCCGTGTTTGCGGTTTATCCATGAATGTATGTCCCGTATTATCGATTTTGTGTATCTTCCGGCTCCGTTTTCTTCAGACCATTCTCCTTGCCACCTTTCGATTGTATTTTTTCTTTGTTGATCATTGATTATTTTTATGTTTTCGACACCGTTGTTTCGACTTAGGTTTATCTGCTGGTTTATTCTGCTTCTTTCCTCCACAAGTAGGTTTATCGGTATTAGTCCACTGATAGCTGCAGCTGCTGTCGCCGAAATGGTATGGTATCCGCAACAGCATCTTATTGCCACCTTTCTTTGGCATTGCGCCAGTTTCAGTTTATTTCTTTTGGTATTTAGAGCATTTACCCAGGTTGGTGCTGCGTATAGCAGTATTGATTGCAGTGCCATAGCAAGAATTTTCCGTTTTGAGTTCGCTGGACCGCCTATGTTTGGGAGAATTACTTGGATGGCCTTGAAAACGTTGTTGGATTTCTGTATGATGTAATCTACGTGTGGCGAAAAGGTCATATTGTAGTCGAGAATTACCCCCAAGTACTTTGTCGTTTTCTGCGGTCTGATCGTAGTTCCTCCGAGAGTGTACTGGATGTTTCTCCTATTTTTGTAGCTCCATCCGAAAACTACAGCTGTAGTCTTTTCGGGGGCCATCTCCAATTTATTTGCGTTCATCCACAACTGTATGTTGTGCAGCGCCGTGTTTCCCAGTAAAATGTTCTCTTCAATTGTCTCCCCATTTACTATAACCACCAGGTCATCAGCATAACATATCAGCATAACGTTTTCGTTATCGCACACTTTCATGACGTCGTCATATAGCACATTCCACAGGGTTGGGCCGAGCACCGATCCCTGTGGAACACCTCCCCCTATGTCGTGTTGTTTTCTTTTGTCCAGTATGACAGTTCTCCTATTTAGGTAGGATGTTATTATGGCTATCAAGTACTTCGGGATCCTCCGATTTTTTATTTTTTTAACGATAAGTTCCCAGTTTGCAGCGTTGAAAGCATTTTTCACGTCGATGCAGATAATGCTTGTGATTTTGTTCCTATTCCTGTTTATTTTTATTGTTTTTATGATTTTTTGTATTGCGTCGCAAGTTGATCGCCCCTTGGTAAAACCGAACTGATTTGGATTAAAGCCTTCTGAGTTGTCTATTTCTTTCTTCAATCTGGTGTTTATGATGGTTTCGAAAGTTTTTCCTAATACGTCTAGTAGGCATATCGGTCGATATTTTTTACCCTCGTTGGCGTCGGTGGGTTTTGACGGTTTTTCGATCAGTATCAGTTTCGAGGCCTTCCATTTTTCGGGGAACAATCCTTCAGTTAGACACTCTGTGAACAGGTTAGCAAAGAAGTTCATATTTGACAGCAGCATCGATTTGGCGTGTTCCGGTTTTATGTTGTCTGGTCCGGGAGATTTTCCGAGTTTTATTCGACTAGTGGCGTGTCGCATTTCCTCCTCCGTGACAGGAGGTATCGTGTAGTTTTTTTGCTCGTCCGCTGGCAAGTTATTTGTTTCCGTGATGAACAGTTGTTTGAATATTTCGGTTTTCCTTTCTATGCTGAGAGTTACTTTTGGACCTTGGGCTTTTGTTTGGTTTTTAATGATTTGGTAGGCTTGTCCGTAGATATCTTCTTGAAGAGCCGAGACTATTTCTTTCCATTTCTCTTTTTTTGCTTTTCGAATTTCTTTGGTTAGCTGTTTTTTTGCCTCCTTGTATGCTGTATAGAAATTTTGCCTCCGTATGTTGTTTGTGGTTTCTCGCATGAATTGTCTTCTTTTTGCTTTGACTCCCCTGATCTGGTGTTCGATCGAGTCTTTCCACCAGTAGGGCAGTTTGAAATTTTCGTCCGCTCGGAGAGTGCCGCACGAAGAGTTATATGTGTCCTGGAGCATTTGTATTTTCGTGTCGCATATGTCCTTTTCTTTAGTTTTTCCGAAGTAGTCGATTAGTTTCTTTTCAAAGATGTCTGGTTTAAGTTGTTTTACGAATCGGGTCTTGCTGATATTTCTGTCTTTTGTCGTGATTTTTATTAGGATAAATTGATGGTCGCTTAGGGTCTCCTCTTCATTTAGTACTTCCCAGCTTACACTTCCCCATTGCAGAATTTGTTCGGATACAAAAGTTATGTCTATAAAGGATTGTCCGTTTTCTCTTAGTAAAGTGGGATGTTTGCCATCGTTTAATATTACGAGTCCTAGCGCTGCGAGACCGTCATAAAGTTTTTTCCCTCTTTGGTCCAGCTCATCTCCTCCCCATAGCGGGTTCTTCGAGTTAAAGTCGCCCGTGACAACGACTGGTAAATTGCGAACGTGGATTTCTTGATATATGCTGATCAATAATTCGTCAAGGATAGACTCCAAAGGAGCTATTGGGCAATTAGGGGAGACGTAAAAGGAGTACACACATAATGAACTTGTCCCTACGCATACAAAATTGCTTTTTCTCTCGTATTTGTAGATGGGCAGGCTATTAGGGCTTGCGCAAATAATCATAGCGTTGTTTCCATTTTGGTTTGAGCAGTATATGTTACTTTTGTTACTTGTCGTATTTCTTCTATTGGGTTCTTGTAGGCATAGTAGTTGACATTTGCGTTTTGAGGCTATAGTTTTTGCTAGGTCTTCCGAGACGATCTTCCTCTGGACGTTTCCTTGTAATATTTTCAGCTCCATAATTGTTGGTCGGTACTGGCAAGTAGATTCCTACTGTTAATTCTTTCCTGCTTTAGGGCTAGTTTAAAAGATTTGCATTTGGAAGTTCCAGTTTTATGTCCTTCTTCGTTGCAGGCAGGACAGAAGATAGTGCTGCTGTTACACGAGTCTTTACGGTGGCCTTCTTCACCGCATCTGAAGCATTTGTTGGACATATCTTTTGCTGCGTTTCTGCATAGGCTAGCATTATTCCCGTATTGGTGGCATTTAAAACATTTGTCTACCGCTACTCTCTCTTGGATTCGGCATTCGGAAAAGCCGATTCTGATAGTAGGTTTTTTTCTCAGTTTCCTTGAGCTATTCTCAGTTTCCTTGAGCTATTCTCATCCATCTCGATAATGGCTGTCTGTCCGCCGTATAGGTTGTTTACCATTTTGATGTTAGTTTCATCCTTGTTCTCAATCAGGTTTTCGTTTAGTAGTTCATTTCTGATCTCTTCAGCGTTTGTTATGTCGTCTATGTCCCTTATGTATATCGTCTTTTTCCCTTTGCCTCCTGCCATTCGGATTTTGCCGTCCGTGAAAGTGTTTTTTATTTTGTCATGTAGTCGCCTAGTTAGGGATTCCTCTTTCATTTCTAGGAGCAAGTTTCCGTTGTTTGTTCTTCGGACTTGTCGGACTCCTTTCGAGAGTTCTATGCCCACGCTGTCTTTTAGAGTTTTCAGCATATCAGAATAAGATCTTCCTTCGGTCTGTTCTATGATGATCACCTCGTTCCTTTGGCGCTGTCTTGTGGTGGTACCCTTTAGTCTACCATTCGGGTGGATCAGTGTCAGTTGGATGTTTTTATTGTTAAATATGCACTCGCACATTTTCCTGAAGATCTGTGGGTTGGTGTATGTTGGGGCTATAATTGTTGCTTCATCTGCTCTTGCCTCTGTGAGTACTTATTTATTTCTTTTAGGATTCGGAATAGGTTTTTCAATAATTCGTCGCTTTTCGGTTTGTAGACAATGGAGGTTGTTTTTCTGTTTGATATGGTTTTGTTTGTGGCTCTTACTCTGTAGGTCGAGTTTTCTTCCAGGGTGGTATAGAAGCCTCCTTCGCATAGTGTTGGTTCTTCTTCTAGCAACTCCGGGAAGAGATTAACAATCTCCTCTTCCAATTTGTTGGACTTTTTTTCAGTATTCTGATGTTCCCTTTCTTCGCTCGAGAACAAGATCAGGTGATTTGGCCTACGACCCATGTTTGATCGTTCCACCTCAATTGTGGTTTTAAAAGCTTTTGACGCCCATGGCAGGTTGAGTAGATTCTCAATGTCTTCAAAAATTTCTGTATCTTTCTCCTCGATGGAGTCAATTGTTTCTTCTGGTGTTCTTTTGCAGGAGCATGTTTTGTTTTCTATTTCTGTTAACAGTTGTCTTAATTGGTCTATAGTTTCATCCTTAATTTTATCTTTTTCTTCATATACTATTTTGATGTCTTCTATGGTTTGTCTCTGTTTGCCTTTCTCCAACTTTCTTTCAAAGTTATCTGTCTTGTATTCTGCAATGGTGCACTCTACAAGCGAGCTTATTGATTTGGCTAAGCTTTTTATAGTCTTGTGCACATTCTGGGTTTCCTGGCAGAACTTTATTAGTTCCGTGACCTTGCTCTTCAGTCTCGTGAGGTTGTCCCTTGGCCGAATATCGTTTATTTCCTTGAAATCAGGTGACTCTCCCTGGACTCGTCTGCGCTTTTTGGAGGTTTGGACCACCTGAAAACCTCCTTTATCATTTTGCTCTGCCCTTTTTGTGTCGTCAGTATCTGATTGGTCTCCACTCCCTGCTTCTAGGTTGTCTTTTTTCTCGGGGCCTTCCTTGTCTACTGTTGTCTCCGGATTCTTTCTTCGGGGTGGCGATCTCGCTAGGGAGTTCCTTCTCCCAAAGAGGATAGACCACTCTTCTCACTTAGTTCCAGTCGTTGGCACTTGCGCCCCGGCCTGGTTCCCTACCAGGGGCGTTGTACAGACGTCGGATGACGGTCGGGGCTGGCCTGCACCTCCACCAGTGTCCCCGACCGGTACTGGGGTATCCCCCCCCTGCCCCGTAATCGTTTCCTTAACATTGCCTAATTCCATCTTAGATTTTTTGTTTGTCAGAGAAGAAGAAGTTTGCTGGAAGATGAAAGCCCCCTAGCCCTCGAGTGCTCTAATAGCGTCGGGGGCTGAAAAAGAAGAATTGATCAAGAGAGATCGATAGGAAAGAAGAAAGCAGGGATCAGACCCAAGACAAGATTGAAAAAAGGTCTGTATCCAGCTAGGGTGCCTCGGGGATGCCAGCTCCCGTTCTCACTAGATGTGAGCCCTTGCGGTTTATTGAGCTGTCCTTAGCAACGACTGACCGGTGCAAAAGGAGTGGTGAATACTAGGAAGTGTTTAACCTCAAATAGGTTCGATTGTTGTTGTTTATTAGCCTATCCAAAACGCGTGACTCTGAAAAGCGAAATATGGCCGGAAACAGTTTGTGTGTCTCTTGGCGGACATTTTAATTTAAGTTTGACAGCATCTTAGATAGTCTAATTCTGTGGTACTTAGTTTAGTAATCATAAGTGAAAGCGATCAAAGCAGTGTTGAACCAAGTGCTGAGAATGCTGAAAATGTAGAAGATATAGATCTTCAGATGGCATTTGTTATTTTGTTAGAAGATTGTTAAATACTTTTTGACACGCGGCAAACTCCAGCAATCAAAGCAGAAAAGGAGAAAGCAGCTAAATCACTCGCTGAAGCGTATACCAAAAATACCAAAAAAGTAGTGACTGTAAAACAGGTTATGAAAAAATTGAACTACCTGAAAACCAAAGTAAAAGAAGCCAGAGACCTTAAAAATACGGGTAACAAGAAAATTGTACTCACAGATTGGCAAAAGAAATTTTATGCTATTTGGAATAATGAGGAAAATCAGGGAGAGAATCCTGTGTTGAAAAAAGCACCAGGTAATTGTTGTTTATACTTTATTAATTTAATTAATAATTTACGTAGTCACAGTAAATGTTATTATAGGTACTGTAACTTCCGGCTATGCAATGGCATCTACTAGCAAATCAAGTAGGGTTGTGTCGTTTGAAATATTCAAATGTGAAATTTCCAATATTTGAAAAAAATTAAATTTCACAGAAATTACAGGTGAAATTTTCGATTTGAAATTTCCCAGACTTTGTAGAAAATTTAATGTGTTTCACTGGAAATGACATCGAAATTTTCAAAAGATGAAGGTACATGTTTCGGCGGGAAATACAAGTTGTTATTAACCCCGTAACTCGCAACGCTGCTCAATGGTTGCTTTGCTTTGGATTGTTGGAATCTTAGGTTGGAATTCCTTTGCCACGATTCCGCGTATATAAGCACGACACGACAAGACAAAACAAGTTTCCGAGGCAGGTGAATTTCATGTTGGAAGCCTAAATAAATATGGTTAAACCAAAAAACAATATTTGGAGCTACTTCACTGACTACGAAATAAATAACAGATAGGTAAAATGTGTTTTTTGTGTTGGAATATTCTACAAAAACGCCACAAGATTGGAAAAACATTTGAAAAAATTTCTAAAAACGCCTACCTACATTAGGCTACAACTAAAAGGAAAAAATAATAATGAAGGCGATAATGGTGATAAAAATAAAAGAGAATTGTGTCAATCGAAAACTGGTATTGCTGTTATCGAAGTTGAAGGTAAGAATAATCAATCAATAAATTACCTAATAATTTGATTGTCTTTCACGTTCCCGGCACGGCCACTCATAGAGTCACGGCTAATGGAGGATTTATTTTTCTTTAATTTTTTTTGGGGAATGATAGTGCTGAGAAGAGCAGTGTGACCAGTGTTTTAACTTTTGAAAACACTGGCTCCTTCTCTTTTACAACGGCTAGAGTAAAAATCAAACGAGAAGAAGCCATTGTCGTCAGCGCTGACAAAGAAATCAGATTTCCTTTTCTCTGGGTCCCTCCCATTTAAAGTGAGACAAACGATAACGCGTGTGGCTTCTTCTCATTTGATTTCCACTCTAGTTTGAGAGGAACACCTATAGCACCTCATAGAAGTTCTAGTTCTAATTATTTTCAAAACAAAACAAAGGAAAAACAGTCTATTGTCACAACTTTTCCAGCCATTCAAAGGCAAAAGGGTCTAATGAACATATTTTGAAAAAAAAATCAAAAGCATAATATTTAGTTTAATGTAGTTTAGATTCTTAGAACTCAGTTATAAACAATGACAGAAGAAGCTAATGTAATTTAGATTGTTGATGACCATAAGATTATTTTTACCTCTCATACCTAGGTGATAATTATCAATTCAGGAATACGAAAACCAAGACAGCGAATCTTCTGACTCCGGCGATGACCAAAATTATTTGGCAAATGATGAAGACTACAATAATTCAACTGATTCCGAAAATGAAGCGGTTGTCATTGAAAAACGCAGAATTCAGAAGGCCAAGAGAGACCTATTTAATTTAGTAAACACGACATTTGATACAATTTCTATTCAAAACCTTGCTGCGCCTGTATTGGAATCAAACGTATCATAATGTATGCCTAATGCAGAAATTGTACCTGATGGTAATGAATGTTTAAACTTAAGAGAAAAAAAAAGTTAAAGAGCATCAGAAAGAAGCACAAATAGAACTTTTTTCCGGAAATATCGAAGAACTTCTGGAACCGCGCTTGCACCAGAATCAAATTCATTGAAATGTATGCCTAATATAGAATTTTTTTCCGATAATGAATGCTTAAACAGGAATGAAAATGATATGATATGAACATCAGGAAAAAGGACAAGAAGTAGGCATAGAAAATGTCGAGAATGTCGAACAACATCCTGGAACAGTAGTAGGCCATAATAATAGTGTTCAAGAAGAACAGCCAGCAATAACATCCCAAATAATGAATAGAAATAGAGCCAAAACCGAAACGGAGAAACAGGATAATGCCAGAAATAACCATCCAATTTAAATATTGTATTTTATGACCTGGAAGCGGACAAATGCGGGTTTTGCATAGGAATCTCACAGAAGATGATTTAAAATTAAAAGAAGCTCATTTACAATCGGTGGGTTAGATTCGTTCAATAAAAAAATTGCTTCAACTAACCATTATTTTGTTTTCATTAAGTTGAAAAAGTACGGTCCCAGTACAGAGAGACGGCGAATTATCAGCTCAGTTGAATCTTCTTGAGTTTACGCTGCTGATCTCCAGAAAGTTTTTCTCTTGCCAAGAATGCCAAAAGTGAAGGATTCCTTTTTCACATCCTGCCTTGTGTTGTTTAACGAAGCATTTGGTGCTATGGAAAAAAAATATGAACATTTTTCTATACTGTGGCACGAAGCAATAGCGGCAGACGGGCTGAAGATACAGCGTCCTAGTTTCTGAAATTCTTGGAATGTAACAGAGATGCGGAACACATTAAACTTTAGCTAAATAATTGTAGTGGTCAAAATAAGAATAATATCTTAATTTCTGCTATATTGTCTTACATAAATTCTTCCTTGTGTACCACGAAAACAATCACGTTGAAATATCTAATATCAGGTTACACTTATATGGCTGCCGATGGATTACCCGGGAAAATAGAACAAGCTGTTAGGAAAATCGGAAATGCCGAAGATTTCATGGATTTTAAAGAGTGTCGCAAAAAATCTTCAGCCCGCAGGAATGTTATGGAAATGCAATATAATGACTTTTTGAAGCTGATGAGTCACCGAATTTTTTTTTTCTCTTCTTCTGTTTTAAAGATGATAATGAAAATATTTTTTCGACTGATCAAATTGAAAAAAAAGTGGCAACCAGTTTTTAAAGATATGAATTGATTTAAGAATTTAAGTGACCATTCTCCAAGAAGACGCAGGTGTGAACCAATAGCGATAATGAAGAATGGTAAATATATAAAATTCAATGGAACGTTGTCGTGTGAAAGCTGCAATAAATTCTTTTGTTTTTGTTGGAAATCAATTTATATTCACCAAATAACATCTTCTTACATCACATGCAACAGTTCTGTAGATCTATATTGTGCAGAAAAAGTGCCCGATTAATAAAATGTTTTACTCTTATTTTTAGCCCCGAATCGATAATAACATTCCAGATAAACAAAGTCAGTTAAGAATCAAAGATTCGGTGGTAACGTCCCGTGTAAAAAGATGCTTTCAGTTGTACCAAGCTGAACCTTGGGACGATTGGGGTTGGAGACAAACGGAGAACGACTTCCATAGAGCAGAATTATAGGACACAACAAAAGAATACTGGAAAAGGATCAAAGCAGAAACATACTATAATATACAACACTTCAATAAATATGGATTACCATGTGGAAATAAAAATAAAAGAATTAAAAGTTATTAGCAAATATTTATTGATTTTTTTTACTGTAAAAGTAGGTTAATTTCTTTGTTAATGAAACTGTTTTTATTAAAATAAAAACTTTGCTTTTCATTTATTCCCTCTGGGCTAGTCCAGGCTAGGCTCGGCCAGCAAGAATTTGAACAAAATTCAACGAGAGCAATCTTCACAGCATTGGGTGAGGCCATACTCTCCTCATCACAATTAATTACTTCTACTACTAAATACCATCATTGCCAATAGCTTACATCAATGTATTCACTGAAGACTTAATCTGTAGCACCAACATAATATGTAAGATCATAATATTCATCGTCATCTTATGTGCCAAGAAAAATAAAAGATTGTAGTTATTCTATTAGTGTGCGCCACGGCTTTAAGATATTGGACAGTTAGTTGTTGAACTTGTCAGCGACTACCTAGACCTGCCTTCTAGAGTTTTAAGAAATGCTGCTCTTGACGTCAAAGTTCATTTCAGTGTGAATATAGCGATGGTTAACAGCACAAATATTGTATGTCCACTTTTTGTCCCTTTCGGGGTAAAGGTATAGTTTGATCCCATTAGGGCAGATCTATAATCTTTACAAATATTGTATGTCCAGAATGACGAGTAAGGTGGGGATCAGCACTTCATTTTAATTGTAAAACCACTGACCAATAAGTTCTGTCTATGCACACTTATAGTATCTGATGGATTTTAAAGCAGTGCACAGGGACGTGCAAAGCACGCGCGAGCCCCAGTACACCTATTTCGACGGGCCTCCCTAGAGGGATCCCAAACATTTTCGAGTGTCACGACTGCCCAAATTTTTACCCAAAAGTCGTTGAAAAAGCACACCTCTCTGCTCTGAGTTTCATAAATTAGAAACACAGCCTCGTTCAATTGATTGAAAAAAAAAACAGTTAAATAACTAATAAAATACTTACATTATTTATTCAAGATTGATTTAAATTTAGTTAAAGACACTTATAGTATCCTTATTGAACAAAATATAAACCATCATAGAGGAAACCACCATTCGTTAAAGGCCCTGAAAGCTTGTCCAGAAGAAATACAGTTCATAGAAAAACACATCAACGTGCCATATTGTATTGCAGGTAGATTCAGTTCTTTTATTTATAAATTCTAAAAAAAAAAAATCCCCTGTACCTGGTTTTCTAAAATTTTGAAAAGTGCTGGTGCTGGTTTTATGTATTGATTAATGTCATTATTTTATGTCATATTTTATATTTTATATCATTCTACTGCGAATATATTTTCCTTCGATCATTCAAGTAACGTGCTGCTTTATTTTGGCAGAAGCCCCGGATTAATAGATCCCTTTCACAAGCCCCCCCTACAATATCAGAAGTGGGATAAAGTCCTATAACAGCAGATCAGAATCAAACGAGTGCAGGTGATGGATCTCCGACTCAGATATCTCAGCTAACAGTGGAAGATATTGTTGAACTACCCGTAAGAAATGTTATACTGCATGAGCAGTTAAATCCTAGACAACTCCTAGTTGTTAATACTGAGCCCCCACAACGTAGGTTTAAGAAAAAAAAGATAGCAGGTCTTCTACCTAATTTCAGTGGTATTGAGACTTGGGTACAGCATTTGGATGCAATTAAGGCAGTATATCAAGTACCCGAACAGGTTATGCAGCTTATTGCTATTGACAAGCTTACGTGGCAAGTATAAAAAAGTAGCAAATCCAATTTTGATTTATGCAACAGTACCTATGTAATTTTATGGAATTTATGAATTATGATTTATGTTTACTTTATATAGGTACTTATGTCTTATGTCATTTTGTTTATGTGTGAACCGATCCAAATTTTATGAAATTATGAACTTATGTAACATTTTATGATCACTCTGAAGCTTTTCTGAATTTTTAGATTTATTGTGGTTCATGTTATGTTCTTATGTCTTATGCTTCTAAGAAATGATGTTATTTTATGTTGTGTCCGTGGACGGCCAAGTGTCAGGAATGGCCGATCTATAGTAATTTTATGAGTGTGTGCCACGGCTTTAAGATATTGGACTCTTCAACGAATTACATGTACGTGGTTTTCTAGAATTTTGAAAAGTGCTGGTGCTGGTTTTATGTATTGATTAATGTCATTATTTTATGTCATATTTTATATTTTATATCATTCTACTGCGAATATATTTCCCTTCGATCATTCAAGTAACGTGCTGCTTTATTTTGGCAGAAGCCCCGGGTGTTTTTTAAATAATTCCGGAAAACGTGACATCAGATGTTTAGCCTGTTTCATTCAAAATGGTTTATTAGATTTGGGGAAATATAACATTGGTATGACAGTTCAATTTGTAGGAGATTCAGGTTATCCACTTGAGCCATGGTTGCTTACACCAATTGCCAACCCACTCAATAATAACGAACGAGAATATAATCGTGCCCATAAATCAATCCGGAATAATATTGAAAGGACTATGGAGTTTTGAAGCAAAGATTTCGATGTACTCTTAAGCATTGAGCTCTTCATTATGATCCAGTTAGAGCAGCAAAAATTATATATTCCTGTGCAATTCTTCATAACCTGTGCATATTAAGGCATGAGAATTTGGATGGTGAGTTGAACTCTGAATGCATTCTCATAAATAAATATAACAAAAACTACTATATGTTTCAGAATATTTAAATAACAATGACAATGATATAGATGGAGAGGAAGACCAGGACAATGGAAATGTGAATAGACGAAATAACTTACAAGAGGGTCGCATTGTTCGGGACAGAGTTGTTCAAAATTATTTCATTAATTTATAACTTTAAAAAATTAAAATAAATCTCAAATAAACACACCTTTTTTAATGTATATTAATTCAATTTATTGTACCACACTGTCCAGACTTAAATTTTTGTTTTTGGTCTAAATTCATCAAGCAAGTTTTGAATTGTTTTCTTTAAAATACCAATACTTCTTTCAAGTGCACCTAAATTTTTATGTAGTTCGTTTAGGCTTTTCTTGAAAACATCAATGTGGTGAAAGCTATGAGCTGAACATATAGAATTATTATAAATAAAACATCTGGAAAAAAATAATATTTACTCCAAGAAGTATTATTTCTGGGCCTTATTCTTTTCTTTGTTTTTTTGATCTTATAAGTACATGGCACCTTTTTAAACCCCAACTCATTAGCTTAAGGATGACCATATATTAAAATTTTAGACAAAACCTCTAGAAGTTTTTTCTCCAAATTAGTAAGAATTTCGAATATAGGAATTCCGCCTCCAGTTAATTCTTGTTCAAAATGGATTCGTCTTGTTTTTGCTTTAACTTTAGCTTCCCACTCAGAGAAAACCTTGAAAAATAAATTAAATGTGAAAAAATAAATATCAATCACTTATTACCCTTTTCCAGTTAACAAAACACCTTACTGGGCCATTTTTTTCTTGATTTAACTGGAGGCACAGTTCTTTGAAAGATTCTTCATCATCTTTCTGAAAAATTATTTCGTATTCTATGTACATTTCATTGATTGTAATAAATATCAACTCATTTATCCCGTAACTGGTGAGGTCATTTTCTTGTTACATAACTGGGAAGGTGGGGTTTGCTAAACCCCAAATGAAAAAGGCGACTCTGCTAATTCAAAATAAAAAAACGTGTATGTTATTCACTCTTGGGTAACATTTGTCTTTGTGGAACGCGTTGGTACATACTTTCAACAAACAAAAACAAATATTTCAGGAATAATTCAATTTTAATTTGGGACTGCAAAAAACACACATCAAAACTTATTTCTAATTGTTGGAAGTAATCAAACTGAAAATGTAGCATAAACAATACAAAATGGCGAAAAAGTGTCTAAAAATCTCTGGAAAACATTCAAGGAACAAAGTTTTAGCAAAATTGTATTTCAAGTAAACTTTTCGTAGAGCAATTAACCCAAACTAACACAAACGACTCACAGTGAGGTGGTGTTACGCAAACTACAATTTGTACAAAAATCGTAATATCGCTCACCAAGTAAAATATCGCGCGTTGTTGACACCATTAGGGTACTGACGGACAACGGACCGAAAGCTACACAGGAGGTAGCGGGTCTCCAACCATTAGTTAATACGTGGTGAAGATTCTTGAAATCTGTGGGGTTTGAGAAACCCCACCTCACCAGTTACGGGTTATTAAAGTAATTTGAAATGCTTCAACCGAGGCTTTCACAAAAAAATAAATCAACACAAAAATAAACTCAAATAGGTATAAAATAAAAATACTAATACATAAGTATGTGAATGCTAAATTCTAAAGGACATCGCACACATCTTATGGGTTTTTGGGGACCGGTCGATTTTTTTAAAACTTTGGTATGCTGTAGTACAAGTAAAAATAAGCATTTTTCATCATTGCACCAAATCTCTAACTATGGGTGACCCAGTAAAGCGGGTCCGAAAATATAAAACAAGCCTTTTAATTATCGATGTTGTCACGCCCTGTAAGTTACATATCGGGTTTTTCGTTTTCGATTTCGCAAATAAATAGTCTAGATAAGCCTGATATACTATACAGGGTGGCCAAGGTTGCGTATTCTCTTAGAAATCCTGCTCTATTCTTAGAAATAGTGTTAATAGAAAGTTCGCGCTAGATTTTATTTAACCGTAACTTTTTTAATTTTTGTCCGATTTAAAAAAAAAAAGTGGTCTTGGAATAAAACTTATATCACAGGGATGATCATAAAATTCGAGATGACGGAAATTGATAAAAGTATTGTAGATTCTTACGAACATTAAACCTAGTTTGAAATTGAAAACAGGATCCAAAAGGGTAATGTTGAGTTATCACCTAATCACAATTAATCAGTCATCACAATTCCTGAAAATTGGTGTGATATAATAATTTTGTTTCTGCAGAAATCACAAACCAGTCAGAGCGAATTTCTTTGGTTGAAAACAGTTAGAAACAGTGTCAACCGAGGTTTAAACCAATGAAATTCACTCTGACTGGTTTGTGATTTCTGCAAAAACAGACCTAATATCGCACAGGTCAATCAGTAAAGTGCGTGGACATCTCCTAGGTACACCGTGTAATTTATTCAAAGTCTTGGATCAAAAAATTAACGAGTTTTATTATTCTAAGGTATTATAAAACTATTTTGACAGATAACTAAAAGTTAACTTCTGGAATTACTGAGATGTAACGTCATTTCAGAAGTTAACTTTTGGTAATCCTATCAAAATAGTTTTATAATACCCCCCTTATAGTGGGAAAATGGTAACACAATAACAAAACTAAAAATACAACCTAAATACACTATAATATTTTCACTTTAAAAATCGTGATTACCTTATTACCTACTGCCTATTTGCACTATCTTGAATACACCTAAGTAGCGTATTTGATGGGTACTTCACATTATTTTGATGTCGAGCGTAGCCCAAGTACCAAACAACGCTAGAAATGTGGGAACACATTCCTAAAGTTCTAGCACCAACTTTACAAGTGCAGTATGTGCCCAATATTGGATCCCCTCCATCTGGCACAGGAGGAAGCAAAAACGACACAAAAAGAAAATGTTTCGTCACTTGTGTGAACCGCGAAAATATTTTGGCTCTTATAAGACCTAGCTCAAATTCTTGATCTTGAAACAAAAATTCGTCGTTATCCTCACGGTGTATTGTATCCTGAATGTATGCAGGTGATAATTTCACTTGATATGTTCCGAAAGTCTTAGTTCTTAAATACTCAACAGTAAGAATAGGAAAATTGATATTATTTTCATGTAAATCGACCCAAGGCCCACCACCCCGTCTAAGCTGAAGGTTTTCCCTTTAAATCCTTTCATGAAGTGCATTATCAACATTTTGCACCAGTTCCAACATTCTGTGTGCTAATTCATCACTTTCGTCCTGCATATGAATCGGTTGACGGTATGCATTTATCAGAGCGCAAGCTATTTTTAAAAAATCTGATAAGTTATAACAACTTTGCATGGGAATTAAATCCCTGAAAAATTTGAATAAAGATTTTAAATGTCCATTTCTCGACTCCACAATCCAACGTGCCTTTGTAATCTTACGAGCATTGTTTGCTTCTTCAGTTGTAAATTGTTGACGATTTCTGGCCAAAAAGGCGGTATTTCACAGTGGAGGTTCAGTGTTTGAAGAAACTCTACAACATCTCTATATCCCCTATCATCAACAAATATATCCCCGTCCTGTATCCATTGTCTTATATTTTGAATGTCTTGTTCCATTTCACTATGCAGTATGGCCGCGTCATTATTTCTAACATCCGCAAAGTAAGGACCGTGAACGTCAATTATAAAGCCGTCGGGAGCTACGATTAGGCCTGCTTTAAATAGAGTATATCTTTTATGAGGTGAAAATGATTGTCTTTGGATTTGAAAGTGACTACTTTTTGGTGCTTTGAGGTAGGTGCAATCCGGATAGAGAATGGCTTGAGGTTGTTGGGGTATTGGGTTATACAAAATGTTTGAAAATGAAGTAACATGGCCTCACATTGAAAACCAAGATTATTCGGCACAAAGTTTTGCATTAAGGTAGTTCTGATAATTGTAATTGCCAAACTAACGGCCTGTCTAGAAGTATAATTTAAAATGACTTTAATGAAATCGGCCGATAATCCCTGTCTTAGTTTCATTAGAAAAGCTATTAAATCCTTTTTAACTGGTGTTCGAGTTCTATCAAAAGCAAGCACTGGTTGACATGTATTAAAAAGTTGTATAAATTGCTGTTTAGTTATGGATGTCAGTTGCTTAAACTCATCTTCCTCGAAGTTTTCTTCACTTGAAAAAACGTCGGAATTATATTTCCTTAATGCAAGAAACCATTCATGAACTTCTCTGCCATTCATAAGCACATTCATAGGTAGTGACACGTTATTATTTGAATGCTCTATCTGAACATTGCCTTTAGCATTTAAATGATTATTGCAACATGGTGTGTTATTAGGTATAAAAATATTAGTTTTAGCAAAGAAGTCAACACGAGCCTCCAAAGACAGTCTAGTTCTAACTTCATTGTTACAAACAAAACAACCTCGGCTTCCTGCCAACACGTCCATAGGAATCGCTCGAGGGTTTTCTGCTAACTCAATAGATCGATCTACACGTTGCAAACAATTAAAAGAACCTTTGCTATTTGCATTGATCTCTTGATGTGGAAGGTTATACCTCTCCCTAAAAAGAGTAGATATTTCTCTTCGTTGTGGGATATTTTCAAATAAAATGGCTCTAAATCTATGCCCAATAGCGTTGCAAATATAACATCTAACCATGATCCTAAAATAAAAAGTAAACTTGATTTCCTGTTTTTACCTAATGTATCCAATTAGTACTTAGTTACGCTGTTCGATTAACACTGACGAAGTAAAAATGTCACTGCTTAAAATTAAATATAGGTATTTAAAAAAAAAAAATAGTTTTTTACAAAATAAAATAGGTATACTGTGTCTTAACAACAAAACTTAGTTTGTGACAATAGTACCAAGGCACCTGCCTTTGTTTCAAAAATCTGTCGCCGTTCATAGCCTACCTTAATTTTTTTAGGTACTGAGTACTACTCCGTAAGCACGAACGAGTTGTATTATTTAAATTGTTTCCTTTATGGCCGTTTCTACCAACTAAACTGGTGGACAGTTGCTTTGCAACATGGAAAATATTACCCAAATTCAATTCTCGATATTTTCGGAACGGAAAGAGATATCGAGTTGCGGTATTCGGGAGGTTCTTCACCAACTCTTTGAGAACACGCACAAGGTTTGACCGGTATATTTCTTTCATTTGTGCACTTATACAGGGTGAGTAAATGAAGTCATGTTTTTTTGGCAAAGTTTGGGTCTATGCCAGATTCTCAATCTTTGGACTATCCCAAAAAAAGTAATTTCTCAAATTTTTCGAAAGTTGGCTATAACGCAAATTATCGAATTTTTAAAAAAGGGTTACATTTATCCATAAAAAAGTGACTTTTTCGGGGTTTCGCTTGAGAATGGGTATTTTTTTCTCATACTTTTGGACGAAGTAGAATTTCTTGGCCCCAAGAAAAGATTGAAGCACTCATTGAACGTATTGCCTACAGTGGCGTGCAGAAAAAATTTGCTTTAGACATTATGGTATAAAACCGAATTTATAAATTAAATTATACTATGCAATTAAACAGCTTAATGAACAAATCCAAGTTACCATACTCTTCATACAGGAGTGTATTACAGTAGCGTAACACCAAGAGCATCTTTTGGTTTGGTGGGAAGAACTTAAAAAATCGTATTTTTCAAAATGCTCTGATGCTGGTCTACACTGCTGTTCATCTTTCATCTGGAGTTTTTTAACCTTGTTATTTCGCATTGGCGTACCCGCTTGGATAAAAGGGTCGTTCTTTGAATAACTTCCCGCAATCATGTCTTTCGGCTTGACCTCGAATTTTTTTGGTATGTTGAACGGTGCTGAGCATCAGGTCGAATAGTTCTGTAGCAACAGGTATGT